CGAAATGAGTTTGATAACTGTGTTTATAGTAGGAAGCTATCAGATGGTTCCTATATATATTTGTTGTTGTATGTGGATGACATGCTAATTGCAGCTAAGAGCAAGACTGATATTGATGCTCTTAAAGCTATGTTGAGCAGTGAGTTTGAGATGAAGGATTTGGGTGCTGCCAAGAAGATTTTAGGAATGGAGATTTGGAGAGACAGGAATGCAGGTCTACTTTATGTATCTCGGAAGAAATACATTGAAAAGTTGTTGCAGTCTTTTCAAATGGAGAATTCTAAGCCTGTTAGTACTCCTTTGGCAACACATTTTAAACTTGATGCTAGCACTCTTCCTAGTACTGATGAAGAGAAGGAGTATATGAATACGGTTCCTTATTCTAGTGCTGTTGGAAGCTTAATGTATGCCATGGTTTGTACAAGACCAGATTTGGCTCATGCTGTGAGTGTGGTTAGCAGATTTATGAGTAATCCTGGAAAGGCTCACTGGGAGGCTGTGAAGTGGATCATGCGATATTTGAAAGGTACTAGTAATATCTGCTTAGTTTATGGTTCTAATGATATTGGGTCTGGTCTTATTGGTTATGCAGATTCTGACTATGGTGGAGATCTCGTGAGGAGAAGATCTTTGACATGTTATATCTTCACTCTTTATGGTTGTGCTGTAAGTTGGAAAGCAACACTTCAACCTACTGTTGCTTTGTCTACCACTGAAGCGGAATACATGTCCTTGACAGAAGGGGTTAAAGAAGGTATATGGTTGCAAGGTCTTATTGATAGCTTGGGTTTGAATGTGCAGAGACGTATACTTTATTGTGATAGTCAAAGTGCTTTGTGTTTGGCAAAAAATCCAGTCTATCATGAAAGGTCAAAGCATATTGATGTCAGATTTAATTTCATACGAGATGTAATTGAAGAAAAATTGTTCTCCATAGAGAAGATAGCTACGGTAGACAATCCAGCAGATATGTTGACTAAACCTTTGTCTTTTGAAAAGTTTAAGCATAGCTTGGACTGGTGAATGTTCGCATCGCTTGAGACCATTCGGGGAGAATAAGCAGGAGAGTTGTTCTTGGTTACTGGTGACTTGGGAAAATTCAAGTCAAGGTGGAGAATTGTTAAGATGCCTTGAATTTATAATTTTGTCTGTTACTATTTCAATCTTATTTGAGTTGTAATGAGGCTGTTATATTTTATCCTTGTTATAAGGCTAAAAGGCATCTGTATCAGATATCTCTATTCATTCAGAAATAAGAAACTCTTGAACTGCCCGTGGACGTAGGTCACACTGACTGAACCACGTAATTTGTATGTCGTCTTTTTTCTCTTCTCTTTCTTTTACATATTGTCATAACATCTTCTATGCAGACATGTGCCGACAGAGAAAATGATTGATGGAAGTGAAAACCTGACCCTTGAAAATATAAGACACTCTTTAATTCATCAAGAGGATAGCATAATCTTTAGCCTTTTGAAGAGAGCAAAATACTGTTACAATGCAGATGCATATAACCCAGATGCCTTGTCAATGGATGGATTTCATGGCTCATTGGTAGAATACTTGATCAGGGAAACTGAGAAGCTTCATGCACAGGTAAGGAACTAAGTGGGAGCTATAATGATCAAATGAAAAGAACTATTAAGAAAAAGGGATATGCTGAAAGTGTTAAGTGCCAAACTCTTGATTTATAGATGTAATTTCCTGATTGAGTTTTCACTACTTTGAAGATGGGAAGGTACCGGTGCCCTGATGAACATCCTTTCTTTCCTGATGGCCTACCTGAACCAATGTTACCTCTGCATTACCCTCAGGTAAGGAATATGCTTAACGCTAATAAATCAAGGTTGTTCTCTTTAAGTGGATTTTGATATGCCATGGAAATTTGTTACATTTGCATGGGTAGAACTATGCTTACATGTTGGTATAACAAAATAATCATGTTGAGTTCCCATATTAATTAGAATTTAGAAATATGGCCAATGTAGTCTATATAAGGTTTGATCATCTTTACAATCTGATTTTATAAGATTGAGTTATTCTAAAGAGTTTAAATCTTTAGATGAGACTATGCATAGTTTGTAAGACTATTTCAACCCAACACACATTAATAATAACAGTAAAATAAGGAATGAAAGAAAAATCAGTTTGCTGGTTACTTCAACTAGGACAATTTAGTCCTGTCTTATAATTATAAATTCATAGTGACATGCACATTTTATTGATTTACAGATTCAATTAACTGATGAATTGTGTAATTACAAGCGCTTTCTCTATTTCATGTTTAATGGTAGTTTCAGTTGTAGCTAACTCTATATGTTAAATGCTTCTTAAACTAAATTTTTGTCTAATGTGTTAATAGGTATTGCATCCTGTTGCGGGTTCAATTAATATAAATGATGAAGTGTGGAACGTGTACTTTAGAGATCTTATCCCAAGATTAGTCAAGGAAGGAGATGATGGCAATTGTGGATCCACTTGTGTTAGTGATATATTGTGCTTACAGGTACACCTCTTAGTTAGCTTTTAACAAATTCATTTTTTTTTTATTTCTCAGTTGAAATAAGGTAATGGAATACACTGGTACTTATTAAGAACTTTGTCTGCAATAATGGTTAACGAGTATTGTCTTAACTGCTTTGATTCCTGTCCCTAACCTCTGAATAACTTTTTGTCAAATCTTGAGCTATTGTTTCGATATTACTAAACGTCTAAACTAGTAACAGATCAGTGTTCTTCAATCTTTTCACATTCAAATCAACCAATTGAATGGTTGATTTCCACCCCTCCATGTTTTGAGATTATAACCGCAATCACTGGCCAATACTTAGCTTAGCAAACTCTTGTTCTTACATTGTTTGAAATTGCAGGCTCTCTCAAAGAGAATCCATTATGGAAAGTTCGTTGCAGAGGCAAAATTTCAAGCCTCTCCTGATGTATATAAAGCTGCCATTTTAGCCCAGGTACAAAATACAAACGTTTATGCAATTATTGTTAAATCTGCTTCCAATATAATAGTAAACATGTTCATCAATGTAGTAACAACCATTTTTGTGCCATAATATTTTTAGACCATGGATAAATTTTTTTTTGGTTATTGTAAAATCTTACATATTTTGTGGACATTTAATTAACCATCGGTACATAATTTGCAAATGGTGAAGAGACATCTCTATGGTGCCATTTGCATCTTTCAGCATGTTAGATTTTCATTGAATCAACTTCATAGTCATATTGACTTTGCAGGACAAGGATAGGTTGATGGATATGCTAACATTCAGAGAAGTTGAAGAGTCAATCAAAAGAAGGGTAGAGGAAAAGGCCAAAACTTTTGGGCAATATGTGTCTATAAATACAAAGGTGCATCAAGGTGAGCCAGTGTACAAAATAGTTCCAAGTTTGGTTGCGGACTTGTATGGTGATTGGATCATGCCATTGACAAAGAAAGTGCAAGTTGCATATTTATTGAAGAGGTTGGACTGAAAACACTGAGTGCACTTGATTATGATAGTGGCTGAGAACAAACAAATCATGCATCCTTGTACTAAATAAATGTATTCAACTTTGAATCCATTTATCGTTAATGTATGCTCACTTACATATTTTGATCAGACATGTAAAATGTGCATTTGTTTTATAAAACAAAATTTATCTTTTGTGAAAATCTCTTTTAATAACTGATTTTCTTTATAATTCAAATAAATTAATATATAATCACTCTTTATATATAAATGAGAAAATTTATTTTGTACCAAAGTATTTTTAAGAATTTTTTTAAATATTAGTGTTCTTTTTTTATAGAAATTTTACTTCAACGAAAAGATTTTTCATTAATATATAATTCAATTTATCTTTTTTTATATTATACAAATTTCCTTTCTCTTACACTTTTTTCTTAAGTTTTTTAATAATTTTTTTCTTCTACATTTAGAACTTTACTTTCAATAGCTTTTGCATCTTAAAAACCGCATCATTTCTTTCTTCTATATATACCCTTCTCTTTGGGGAAAGGAGGTAGACCCACATACTCTTCGAAATTATATTTCGTTCCAAGCAGAGGTGTTTCTTCTATATTTGTGTTGCGTTCCTATATGTATTTAATTGTATTATCCAAAAGAAATAGATACTAATAATCTAATATGTTGATCAAAAAATAATATATTGAATATATATTAATCGCTCAATATGCAATAACTAAATTGTTTTTTGCACTCATGCTCTTAATATTTAAAAAATAAATAAACTATTAGAATTAAATTTTATTTTGATATTTACACCTACATAAAGTCATTTCTATTCTTGACCGAATTCTTACACGCAAGAATCGTTTCTTACATATTTCAGTATTGCAGTATTGAAGCATTCTGATGATAATAATATGGCGTCAGAATTGTTCTTATAGTAGAATTCTCAAGTAACAAGAATTCTCAACAAATTTTAGATTTTGGGTCATCCCACATGAAATTTAGTAGTTTTTCAACATTCATTACATAAAATAACATTTATATATCATGCACAACATGATTTTACCATAAAAAATAACATGCAACAATCATAATTAAGAATCACCACTTTTTTTTAAATACAATTAAAATCCAAATCACACAGATACATCATTTCAGTTCAGATTCTCAATCTGAAATCAGCCACCAAATAAAAACATGTAACCACGAATTACTACATCAAATATCAAACATTCAACAGCAACAATCTAAAACATAAATTTCTCTTGCCTCCTTAAAAACTGAAACAACAAAACGGAAAAGAGAAGAATCAACTATGAACGACTCCAACCTTGTATTCTCAACTTCACAACTACATATCTCCAACTCAATTAAGCTTGATCAGCTACAAAGAAGGAGAAGGCAAAGAATTCTCAAAAATAAAAAACGAGAAGATTCTAAATTTTAGATAGTCTCTTGCTAACTTTTCTCTAAAATTCTTAAATTTTAAACTTAAAAGATTTTCATTTTAAGAAAATTTTTATATATTTTTCTTGAACTAATCCAACTTTTCTCTAGTCCAACTAATCTCAAATACTAACTTAACCTTTAGAGTCTCTAAATTCCATAGTTCTTAAACAATATTATTAACAACAACTAACAACTAGACAACGCATGTAATTAAATTAAAACATCATAAAATTAAATGTGTTAAAAGAATCAAGTATTTAATTTAGTTTTAATGTTTGTAAGTTGCAACTGCTAGTGAGAACACAAAAAAATGTTGTAGTCATCACTATTTTAAAATGTTTGTAATAGAATTTTAACATAATATAAAATGGTTAAAGATATAAAATTAAATTAATCAATATATGCAGGATAATTTAATATGATAATTTTTAATAGACACACGTAACAAAAGATACCTTAACAATTTTTTTTATAGACATATCAAAAGTGGTTAGCATAATGTTTTAAGTAAAAATATGATTTTTTTTATAAAAAAAACAACTATTTTTTCAATGAGCAAAATTTGAATAAAATATAATGCCAGGAGAAGAAAATAAATTTAAAACAATAATAATAATAATAATAATAATTAAGAAACAAAGAAACTTATTTTTTTCTTTTACAAACTACTAAATACTGATGCTTCGAGTATGATGAGAAGCATTTTTTTTTTTGTTATTGACAACTGAAATAAAATAATATTTGAAGTGGCAATTATCGAAATAGAACTTCCAATACGTATACTTTGAATTCCAATTTTGCAACCATGTATGAAAAGCCTTTAGTTGTTCAACAATAGATAACAAAGAAATGGACATTGACAAAAACAAAGTAGAATTCAACCTTTCAAAGCGTGAGCAAGGGATTGAAAGTCATGCATAGAAAATTGGGTTAAAAATTTGAACTCGCTTTGTTTACTGGCAGCTCAACCTGTTTAACAATTAACAATAAATTTTTATTTTATTTACATGCATTATTTATTAGAAAATAAAATATATTAAATTAATTCTTTTGATTAATATTTTATTTAGACACTATAAATTAAATAAATAATAATAATGTGACCATTTACACTTAGTTAACATATAATTATATATACTATAATAGCAAATATAAGTTTAAAATAATTTAAATAAATACTACTATTTTATTTAAACTTGTAATAATTAAAGTGAAATTCTAAAAAACACAAATAACATAGCATAAGAAAATTAAAAGAAAATCAAAATGGGTTTGCAAATTGCAGGTGTACTAGTCCGGTCTCACTTTTAATCCAGTTTTTTTGTCAAAAGAGTATTCAGAAATTAAAGACTTAAAATAATAATCTGAGGAGTGCTAATAGCAATTAATTCACTGAATGACTTAGTTGGCCCATATGTGTTGGTAAAGCCCACTTCGTAACCAGTATTCTTTCATTGATTCACATATTACAATTTACAGGCATGAGACGTATCTAATGAAAAAACTACTTGTATTGTATACGAGGAATTAATATTAATTACTAAATTTTATTATAAATGAATAAGATTAAATCATATAATTTTTATTATTTTTATTTTTATTTTTCATATGATTTTTTAAATCATTACCATCTTTTATGGTTACATGTTCCAAATTTACTCTTCTATATATATAAAGGAAAAAAGTTTTCTTTTTACTAGATACATCTTTTTATAGGCATAATATATTTTTCCATTTTTCAAATGTTTACCATTTCGAAAATTAAAAAAAATATTAAATTATTATAAAAATCCTATTTGTTGGAATTTTATTTAAATACCTATTTAATTCACAGATACATTATAATTCTTAAAGAAAGTATTTTAGTTTAAAATATTTTTATTATAATAATATATTTAACTAATAGTTTCTTAAAAGGTACATATATTATCTTAAATTATAAATAATTTAAAGTGGAGAAAACTAGTATGTTTTTTTTTTTTTTATCAGTGAGAAGACGTATATTAAACAACCAAATATTGCTTAAAAGAAAATACGTAAGTTACGTAACGTGTTAATTCTTAAGTATCATTTTCGTGTACAAGAAAAGAAAGTAACTAGCTAGTTTGCTTTTTATACACGACATAGATTATTGATTATTGATTATTGAGAACGATTAGTCAATTATAACTTATCAATTAGAGGAATAATTTACACAGTTTCCATCATGTACGGATTTCAACAATCCACATTCAAATGAATCCAATGAATATATAGGGTATGCTTGGGAAATTCGGAAAGGCATTCCTCTAATTGAGATTTTATAATGTAATAAGTAATAACAAAGTTTGGCTAGTAAATAATTTCGTTTCCAAACGATATAATTATTATCGATTATTGTGTATGAGAAAACATTCATCGTGAAATACATCTTAGTAATTGGAGAGATAAGATTTTTACTTTCAACTAGTTAGAGACAGGAGATGATGCATTTATGATTATTAGAGAAGAATTTGATGATATGTTGAAAATTTAAAATTAATCATCATTACTATCCACTTAGTAATACTTAATTTAATTCAGAACTAAAGAATACTTAAGTTTAAAAATAATTATTTCAAGTTTTTTTTAAGAAAAACAAATATTTGGAAAATAAGTTATATATTACAATAATAGCTTAAATTTGTAAAAGGCTTTTTATTTTTAAAAAATAAGTTGTTTTTCTTATATCTAAAAATTGGAAACCCAACAATTTCTTTTAGTTTAATGATGACACATTATTAGTGTAAAAAAAATTAACGTGGTCATTGGTCAACCTATTCAAAAATTACAATTTATTTGAAAATTTACAATTTATATGACTTTTAAGTTTTAATATAATTATTATAAAAATTAATAAATTTATCATTTATGGTGAATTGTGATTCAATAATAATGTAAAATAATTTTACGTTGTCAAATATTAATGCATCATTATTAAACTTTTTTCTTTTACCTTAAAGTTGATTTACTTTATAAAAGGTGATTTTTGTTGTTGTTGTAACTAAACAAAATTAAATATCTTAAAATCATTTTTTAAGCAAATTTATTCAAAGAAAAAAATTATTTTGATTATAATTAATTATAATAATAATCAATTATATGTATAATTGATTATCAAAATGATATAATTTGTACAACTTTTCAAAACACACATTTGGTAGGGCAAAGTTTATTTTTTAAACCAAAGATTATGAAAGCCCATGGTGTACACACGCATTCAAAAATATTTAACACAATTGGTAGAGAGTTTGATTCTTTAAGTATATAGATAAAAGTTTATTTCTATGACCTTGATATAAAGATACGGTTAAAATCTAAAGCTATTAAAATTAGTTGAAACTAGTAAGCTAATTCGGTCTATCATGAATTTGAACTAGAAAATCTAACATGTTTCAATTTTAAGAGAAATTTAGCCTAACTTTAATATTGTAATTAAAAAAGACAAGATACACTTTAATATACAATTTTAAAATAAATCATCTCTAACTATTGATAAATAATATCTTTATATATTAAAAAAAGTGTATGTCTATATATATAGATGAAGTACATTTTAACCATCTAACAATTAAAATTAAAATTTTTTAATATATAATATTTTGTTATATATATTTAAATCGATGCAGAATTAATAAATTAAAATATTAAATAATTTTTAATTTTTTAAAAAATTATAAAC